TAATTCTCTTCTCCCTACTACTCGTTCATAATAATGCTAATCGCTCGCCATTTTTCAAACGGATTCAATTCTTCGATATAATCCTACGTTGTGTGAATGCACAGAATTTCTCACCTATTCGCGTCGTAACAATCGAGTATAATTCCAATCTTTTCCAAATTTTGAGACGTCACCGACAATCAATCTCGAATTAAATCCAAACGCGCTACTTCCTATCTCGTTATTATTTGTTGTTATCCGTCGTAATCAATTGCACTTTCGAATTCTTTCGAAGGGGATACGTGTGCAATTTGCCGGAAGAAAATGGATTGGAAACACGTCCGGTTTGTTTCTTCGGATCGGCTCGTTTACGCTCGTGTCTCGAGCGATCCCAAAGCGTCGCGAGCATTTCGACGCGTGTCGAAACCCTGACGAATCAATTATTTCCCTCCCGATCTCCATCTCTCGAAAATAGCGTTCTCTCGAAACGAAAGCTTTCCGTGTTGCCGGCCAATTTTTTGACGAGAAATACGCGTTATTCTTGGAAAAAGGAAAAACAAATCTCGGAGAAAACGAGTCGAATGCAACGACCAATTTCGATCGATAATTTATGAATTTTTAGATATCTGCTAACTGGTCGACAACTAAGGCGTTCTGAGCACAGCGACGGAAGCACGAACTGCCCCTCCCTCTGAATCAACGATTCAAGTAGTAGCGTGAAGATTTTATTTTTAATCCTACAAATTTATGTTTTAGTCGCTGTGCATTCTCCACGATGTAAATTGATATTAACTAACTGGGTTATTATATAAAGTTTATGAGTCAGAGAAATGAGAATAAATATCTCATCCCTTTAGAATTCTATTTTTGATTCAATTGAACTTGAAAAATGAAAATAATTCAGAATAAATTTCTTACTCCTTTATAATTTTTACTCTCAACTCCTTTATTTTTAATATTCATCATCAACTGTTCTTCGAAAGTTTACTCAAAAATGAAAATATCCACAATCCGGAATAATTGAAATTGTAAATCTCCGTAATTCCTTTATTCTTATTCCTTTATTTAATTTTACATTCAGTTCCTTTATTTTTAATATTCATCATCAACTGTTCTTGGAAAGTTTAAAATAATGAAAATATCCACAATCCAGAATAAACTTCTCATCCCTTTAGAATTCTATTTTTGATTCATCAACTCATCAATTAAAATTGTTGTGAATACAATTTCCAATATCGCACATAATTTTCCTTAAGAAGTGGAAATCAGAACAAGTTTCTCGTCCCCTCATCAAATTCACAAAATATCTAATCCATCCGTGACGCGTTGAATCGAAACTCCGTCGTCCGTTACGTTTTTGGCCGTCCTTCCTCGTGTAAATTTTACTCGTCCACAACAGAGTTTAGAGGATCGGTTTTGGAAGAGGCCGGCTCACAACGAGCCCTTTGCTTCGAGGATCGTTTACGGGAGACACGGCCGGGCCAATGCACGCCTAGCGTAATTATCTCGGGCACAATTCACCCTTTGACGAGAGAAGGACTTTTAGTGATTTACGATCCCCCTCCCCTTCCTTATTCGCGACACGCGGTTATCAGCGGTTGCATTTAGCGATGCCTCCCCCTCCCTCTCCCGAGTTAAGCAAGCAATTAAGCTTGGCAAGCTTGGACGTGGAAAAGATTCGCCGTTTTCAACGATGAAGAGACGCTGTTGTGACGCTCGAGCGAGCGCCGCTTCTAAATTTGGTCCTCTCTTTCTTTCTTTCTTTCTTTCTCTCTCTCTCTGGATATGTTAATCTGATCAACTCGAGCGTACACCTTCTTTCCCTTACGTCTTTTCGATAACGTGTGATCAAAGGAAAAAGTATGAATGCCTATTGAAATTTTCGTTTGGTTGGATTCGAATAAAAAAAATTCGGTTATTAACTCATTATTATCGGTTAAAATCGGTTAACGTTACTTTGAGCCGATTCACTCGTTAAAATTACATTTTCGTGGTTCGAACGTTGATGAATTCGACCGTTAAACGGCACAGAAAGATAAAAGAATAGAAATCGAATACTTGTCGCAATTTTATTACCTACAGCAAAAATGAAAAAGGAATTATTCTAGCAACAACCGGTGTCCTAACCGGTGTCCTCGAGAAAAGAAAGAAAGAAGTAGAGTTATTTAGTCACAAGTTCGAGCTATCCGTCGATCAATCATCCGAAGTAACTTCAACCGACTTAAATTTCCATCGGCAACGTGACTACGATTCCGACGAGCAAACAAATTTTTGGAAAATTCTCGCGGAAAATCATCGAAAATTGTCGAACCTCGAAACTCGATACTGGAGGGAGGGAGAGGGGGAGAGGCGGAGGAGGCGTGAGCGGCCGGAGAGGAAGTCTCGAGGCGGTGGAAACGAGGCTCTTTGGTTTTCGTTTATCCCCGTTTGGGAGGTCCGTCGAACGGGTCCCTCGGCCTTCGTTCGTGAGAGGCCAGACGCTCGAGAGGCTCGACGAGAAAGAAAGAGAGAAAGAGAGAGACGGGCCGACGAAGGAGCGAGGGGAGGGGGAGGCAGAGAGAAAGGAGGGGCCCCCCCCGCGCCTCACAATGCAGCCTGATTTATGGGCCGGGCGCGCATACGTAGAGTTACACACGATATCATAATACCATTAATTCTTCGTCAAATTCCCCGCTGACTGAATCATACTGGCCACGCAGTAAATCACCACGGTGCGACTAATGTGAACGCGACCGACCGACCGACCGACCACCGCTCCCTCGCTGTCTTATCTCTCCTGTGTGAACCGCGAACGGGGGCAGGTGGATCCTCCTCCTTCTCCTCCTCCTTTTGGACGCTTAAGAATCACTCTTGTAATCCCTCGCGTTTTCCCCTTCTATATACACAGAGCGAGCACTAACTTGTTGTTGCTCTCGTGGTAATACGACGAAAAAATGTTGCGTGCGAAACTTGCAACCGTAGAAAGGAGAAGAGAGGGGGAGGGGAGAGTATATTGTGATGTGCGCGGGTAGAGGAGATTTCAAGGTTATCTCTGTTTTCTTAAACGGAACGGTGTGCTCTTTTTTTGCGCGAACTGATCTCTCCGATTGGCGGAGAGGCTTTTTAAGATTAGGTATCTGTTCGTGTGCGTCTCGTATTTCTCGTGTTTCTTCTATATTATATTCTTTCTATATATATTCTTCTATATATATTCTTTCTATATTTTATTGAGTATGGTTCGGACCGGGTTTTATGCAATAGTTCGGTTCGAGAAAACAGAAACGTGAACGGGTGGTGGACGCGTGGGTTTTAAAATTTCTCGTTTTAATTTTTGTAAGAATTCATCTCTCAATGCGGTAAAAGTGAGTTACGTTTTTTTTTTTTTTTTGTTTGTTGGTTGGAAGATTCTGGAGAGAATTCTAGCTGATAGGTTATATAATTTAATTACGAAAATCGAAAGTGTTATTAATAACGATATGTTGAATATCGGCGTGTTGAACGTGTTTAAGGATTATTAAATATGACGAGTTTTTTCACGAGTTTCGTAATTTGGTTACAACTAGTTAGTTTCACCTCCTAAGAATCTCGCCTCCCCGATTCCTGGTGATTTATCCGTTTCGTTTCGCGTTCATAATTTCTTGTCAGAAGGAAACGGAAAACTTTTACACGGAATATCGAATTCTTAACCGGTTATCGAAAGATCCCGATTCTGGCAAGGAAAAAATTCCAGCTAAACTGAGAAATTTCGTCTTTCAACGACTCTTATCGGCTGGTATCCCCCTTAATTATCCGCATCCATCATCCCATCGTCTATCTCTTCAAAAATCTTAAACGTTTATTTTATTCCAATCCCACTTTTGACTCTTGATTTTTTAACTACGAAAAACCAACAATTTTTTGTCTAAAATATATAAAATCGAGTGTAGGAAAATAAAATTTAACTTTGACTTTTGAACTGTCGTTTCTGCATTTCTTCAAGCAAAATGAAGCTTATCGCAATATTTTCCTCTTCCTGGAAAATAATTTTTTTTCTCTTCCAATAATTGAAGATTTGTAAATTGTCGCCTTTGCTAATAGAAACGAAATAACTGCAGCATTATTTTTCTATTTTTGCACGTCCATCACGGCCATTATATCGCCAATCGTTACGCGTCATAAACGTGTCTAGCAATTCCGACTGGACTAATTTACGTATGATAATACGTACGATGATAAAATCGATCGTTTTCCATGAAATTGAATTATCGTCTTCAAGAATACTCCTCTTGAGAGTATTTTTCCAGTGTTTCCAGTCGAACGAAGAATGTGATAAACGCCGGGAGTGGAAATTATTTTCAAAGAACAAATCTTTCATTGACTTTTCGAAATCTATCTAACGTAAAATTCGAGGATCTCCGCGAGTGGACGCTGCGAATGAAAATCTTTCCAAGATCCCACGTCGATTCAATAAACAATTATGAAGCTAATTCTCGACTATTTGCAGGACACACCGAGGATCTCTTCTCACCAGCCAGTGTGATGCATGGACGAGGGAAGAGTATCGAGATTTATAATCGGCCGAGGATATATTTCAGCCGTGATTTAACGTCGAAATGATCGCGAGACAAGCAAGGCACCGCATTCCTGTTATGATGACACACTGGCACAAATTTCCTCGGCTGCTTGATCTACGAATCAACCGGCTTCTTACTTTTGCACGACGTTTCTCGAGATTCCGCGTTCTTCAAAAAACACAAAACACGGTTTCGAGAAAAAGAAAAAAATCTCACTTTTACTACTTCTATATCGCAACAACGTGTTTCCCTCTCTTCCCTTCGTGTTTCATGGAAACACGAGAACTTTTCGAAACTCGAACTTCCTTCCCCCCGCCGAGGAACACGTGCACGCCTCCCTTGGAGGCAGGGAAAAGAGCGTCGCCCCTCGTACGAATCGAAGAGCAAAAAGCTCAACATCCTAAAAACGTACGATCCTATCCTTACCGACCGAGTTCCTCGAAAACCAACTTTTGGAAAAAAAAAAAGGAGAAAAGGAAAAAAACTTACTCTGCCCGATGTGCACCCTCTTCATCCACGAGTAAATCTTGGGCGGCTCGTTCCCCGTTGGATTGTTCTTGTTGGACGAGTTGTTGCCGGTGCTCGAGGTGCTCGAGGTCGAGGAGGCGGGCGAGGAGGCGGAGGAGGCCGTGGTCAGGGCGGAACTACCCTCCTGGGGCCTGGAGCTGCCGCTGGCGGGCGAGGCGGCGGCGGACGCGGCGACCGAGGACCTCGACGAGGCCCCCGGCGGCGAGGTGAGGCCCGCGGTGCTCACCGCCTTGCTGGTGCCGGCCGCGACAAGCGGCGTGGGACTGTTCCTCGAGGTGGACGTGGTCAGATCTTGGGGCGACGCGACGCCTGTCGAGCCCGTGGAGTCGGCGTACTTGCAGCTGGAGGCGGAGGGCGCGGACGGTGCCGACGCTGCCTGGAGGAGCGGCGTGGTCGGGTCCTGGTGTAGCTGTTGCTGCTGCGGCTGTTGCTGGGGATGGTGTTGTTGCGGATGGTGCTGTTGCTGCGACTGTTGGTGCAGGCTGTGCGTGGTCGCGGCCGCGCTCAGCCGGGGCTGGGGCTGCAACTGCGTGTAGTCTATCATGCCCGTGGGGGCGGTGTGTTGCATGCCCGAGGCGGGTGTCGCGTACGGGTGCTGAGGATAGTGTTGCTGGGGCGAGTAGCACGGGGCCGGTAGCTGGTCGTCGCCGCGTTCGGGTTGTAATAATCGCCACCGGCGGGCGAGGCGGCCTGCAACGGCTCCCCGGGCGAGTTGGCGGTGGCCCGTGGCTGCTGCTGGGCCTGCTGGCCCGCGTAACACGACGCCAGAGAGTTGACGAACTGATAGGAGCTCATGGTTCACCAGGGTGGAGAGAGGAGAGGAGAGAGAGAGAGAGAGAGGAAGGAAGGAAACGGGGTTCCTTGTTCTTCACAAAAAAGATCGAACGACACTCTGCTCTTTTCTTCTCTTCTTTTTTCTTCTTCTTCTTCTTCTTCTTCTTCTCTTGGTTTCTCGACGAAAAGATAAAACGCGCGCACACGAAACGTCGTTTCAAACGGACGATGCCATCCCTGTGTGTCGATCTCACGACGAGGATAATTGACGGCGATAGTTGAACATGTCACACTGAACTGAACTGAGAACTAGGCCTCTCCCTCGTTATGTTCACACTCGTTGTACGCGCGTTGTACCGACACGAAACCTCTAAAAAGAACGATATTCGATAAGGAAGGAGGGGAAGGAAAGAAGGAAGGAGGAAAGGAAAGAAGGAAGGAGGAAAGGAAAGAAGGAAGGAGGAAAGGAAAGAAGGAAGGAGGAAAGGAAGAAGGAAGGAAGAAAGGAAGGAAGGAAGGAAGAAGGAAGGAAGGAAGGAAGGAAGAGGAAAGGAAGACGAGAGAAAGAGAGAGAAGAAGAAAGAGAGAGAGCCGAGGCGACCTGTGCGTCGAGTTTTACGAGGGCCACGTGGGCCTGGGCTATAAAACTGTCTTCTCGCTTCTTTACGACCTCACGGCTCGCAATTACCTACAGAGAACTCGTCGAGGCAGCGTGCAGTAGCGCGTAACGGCCGGCTTATCGGGTCGCCCCATTGAAGACGAGACCCCCATGCACTTCTCTTATTCCCTCTTATATTATCCTTCACTTGTGTGTCCCGTCGTGTCTATCGTTTTATAATCCCTTCGAGAGAACGGCGAGAGAATCGCGAATCCGCCTCGAGCGAAGAAAAAACTGTGGTGGTCGTCGTCGCAAACGAGGAAAATAAACGGTCTCTTCGTGCACCGGTATCACCGCATCAGGGGGGTGAAGCTTTATTGCCGCGGCTCGTGTCCCTGTTGCGTGCGCGGAGGGTGGTTGGTATCGTACTGAAGGCCTCGCCACGATCCAACGGAGGCCCCAACGGTGTGTGTGCGGTAGCTTGTCACGTGCCCGCGCTCTCTGCGTGTCAGAGGAGCGCCTCGACCAATCCCCGTCGTTCGTCAAACCTTGATTGGTCTCTCCGCCGGCGTAGGATTCTTCAACCCCGTTCCTTACGTCTCCGACGGGTTTGTGTGGCGGTGCTGCCGGCGCTGGTGCCCGTGTGCCGCTGGCCGACGTGACAGGAGGCGACGAGAGGGGTGCGCGAGCGAGACACAGGGGTCACAGAGAGGGGATAGCACCGTCAGGGGGGCTAATGGAGAGATATTCGGGAGCCACGATGGTGGTGGTTGTGGTGGGGCGAGGATCTCTCTCTCTCTCTCGCTCTGTGCTTCTCTCTTTTCCTTCAACCTTGTAGAACGCAACGTCACCGAGAAGCAGTCTTCCGTTTGCCGTCTCCGCGAGGGGGCAACGCGCGCACGCGCCCCCTTCCGCCTCGTACACCCTCGTGAAAAGAAGGAAGAGAAAGAGGTGGTTCCCTGTACAAAGCGATCGCTTTGGACCTCCTGTCCTCCGACTTCCTGCGTCCGATTTCCAACTTCTCGTTTTGCTTCCGAATTTATGTTTATTATTATTTCCGCGAAATCTTCGAGGATACGGAGAGGTGAAATCGTGGGGATAATGAGGGAGGAGGAGGGGGGAGGGAGGGACAGCACTTTTGTTGTCGATCCACTTCCGGATGGTAGAAGGGGCGCGCATAAGTCAGGCCGGCCGGCCGCGGCTGACAGTTTTATGAGAGTTTGATAGTCTCCGCCGCGCTGTTCTTCGCAGACGGAGGAGACTCTCTCTCTCTCTTTTTCTCCCTGTCTCTCCGTCCCCTCTGCGGCGAGAAAGAGAGAGGAAACACGCGCGCACTACGCACCGCACTCTTTATTGTCCCATAAATTCAAACCTGTTGCCGAACGACGAGAGGGACGGACCGAAGGTAGGAAGGAAAAGGAGCAGTGCGAGACGGAAATAGAATAGTGGATGAAAGAGGAAGAGAGAAAGAGAGAGAGAAGAGAGAGAGAGAGAGGAGAGCGTGCACGAGGTTAGGAATCCTCTCCCAATCGCGCGATCCGATTGACGCCCCCGTTATCGCACGTACGGCGAACCCGGACGCAACTCGTAACTCACTGAACCGACTCGCCGAGCCGGTCGAGAGGAGAGCCCGAGAAGTTGGCGGCCCGAGCCGCAAGCAGAAGCATGTGTGACGTAGTAGCCAGTTGGTCAAACTGGGGGGCACCGCGGGGTGGCGACGTGTCGGTGGGGTCCCGGAGCGAAGGGGACGGCCGAGGAGGCGGAGCTCTCTCCGCTTTGCTTCTCGCGGATAAACTCTGCTTCGTGCCAGAGTCCGTACGATTTTCCGTCCGTGTATTTTCCGCGTTCTTTCGCGATCAAAATCCCAATATCCGAATCCTTCTTTTCCCGCTTTCCTTTCTGTTTCACTTACTAGTTACTAGATCCTCAGATCGTTGTATAATAAATCTACCTATACCGTGTTTATTATCCTTCAAATTCCATTTATTTCGCACGAATCGGGTATATAAGCGTGTTAATAGACGGAACATAAATTTATATTTTAACGCTCTATCGTTAAGCAAGCAGGTAGCATAGAATGAAATATTATAGTTTATCCCAAGCCAGGTAATATAATTAACCACATTATCGTCCAAATTACCGTCCTATTTGATTTATTTTTGTATACGTGGATATGAAAATATTATATATACACAATATATAACCTAAAATCGTGTACGCGTAATAGATACGTTTCTAATTCGAAATTATCGAATTCGATTTATTTTCTACGCTTAAACTATACGTACGTGGTTCTACGTGATCTAGTTTTTGGAATCTCGTATAGGAAGAACTCGGTGTTACGTTACGAATTTTCGTGAAACGGAACGTTTTTGGAGGGAGAGAAAAGCGAGCGAAAAGCGCATAGTGTGTCGCTCGCTCGCCAGATGTGGCGAGTGCGCCCGTTCCTGTTGAATTGTCGCGCGCGACCGCCCCCGGCCGCCCCTCCCCTTCTTCCGCTTGCCCCCACCATCTCGTCCGCCCCACCACCGCCCACCGTGCCGGCTATCTCTTCCACTTTAAGTTCTCTCGCGGTTGTGTTCGTGTACGCGGCCATCCCCACCACCCCTCAACGGTATTCGCCACTTCGGAGCCCGGTATTTGTCCTACACCTACCATCCTTCCTAGGCCTCTCTTTCCACGTCCCGGTGGCGTGCCCTGGACGAATGCGCGCGCGCGCGCACACGTCGACCAACTCTTTCGAGCAGAAAGATAGAGAGAGAAGGGGGAAGAAGGTTGACAAGTGATCGCGGATCAGACACGGTTCATCCTCGCCGCAAAACACCGCCGAGTCGGTGGAAACGCGATCATTGCAGAGACGGTTGCGGATTCGTCATCGCGATGCGGTTTTGTTCTTGCGCGCCAGATTTCGGGGGCCGTGCTTCCGGCCTTCGAGCTGGAACTGGAGTTTACGATATTCGTAATTACGATCTCGTGATTACGATTCGATTTGTGCGTTTTGAGATTCGAAATAGGATCGCAATTTTTCTTTTATGAATAATATCTATTCCATTGCTGTTTTACACCGAAATACAAGTATTAAAGAGCTCTTTTTACACGTCGAAAACGGATCGATGACAAAAAATTACGACTCCTCTTCGTGGCAAGGATAAACACCGAAAAGAATCGCGTCGTTGATGTACGACGATCCTCGCCAAAAAGACCGAGGCAGAGATAACGAAGTCATCACGTCAGGATGTCGATGTATCCCCGGACTGACGTAATGAAAGCCTTCCAGGCAGCTAGGAAGGAGGGGTTTGGAAAGAAGTCGAGTTTTCGACCCGATCCACATTGCCTCGCGGCCGCGTGTCACTCTTTCGCCGCATTGCTCACTGTCTCTCTCCCGCTCGTCCTCTCTTGGACAGTCGGCCTCCCTCCCTGTCCCTCGACTCGCCCCATTAGAAATTCTAATAAAGCCGTCTCAGGTGTAAAAAACGTATCGGGACCCCCATGAATCACGTGTCGCAAAGCGGAGCCGCCGGGACACGTGTATCTGTTATGCTCTTCTCTTCTCTCCTCTCCTCTCCACTCCTCTCTCTTCGCGACAAGAGACGCTTTGCGCGCCGTTTTCCCTCCCCTCCCTGCGCCCCTTGATAATGTTAGCCGCTTGTCCGAGCGGAACAGGTCAGGAGAGGTAATTATTGTCGGTGATAGCGGGGTTTCAAACAGCCGCGAATTATCGCGAACTGTTGTTCTTGTTGTTCGTGGGTAGGGATGGGTTCGAGCGGTTCGCAAACTCGTGCAATTTTTTTTTTAATTTATCGCGCCAAGTTGTGTGTAAAATTGGGAGTTTTTCTTTTTCTCGTTTACGGGCAGGAATGGGTTCGAGCGGTATCCAAGTTGTTTGTGGATAGGAGTAATGGGTTCGAGTAGTTTTTAAACTACTCGTGCAATTTTTTTTAATGCATTTAAGAATCCTTCCTTGTTCCAACTATATATCACAGTGATGGTTGTAAGTTTTTAAACGACAATTAAATTTCTCTTCGACAAAAATATCCATTTTGAGTAATTTTTTTTTTTTTTACCCTTCCATATCCATCAGCTACTAAAATAAAATTAAAATTAAAATAACGAAGACGTGTTCTTTTTGAACGTGTTTTATTGTTCATCCGTTCAACAAATTCAACGTTGATTAATTTTTTATTTCAATGATACAATTTATTTATTTATTTAAACTTATATATTATATAATTTATTTACATATTGGACTGGATTTAGGATATCCACCTCCAGCCAGTTGTCCGACAAATAACGCGAATATCCCTGTGTCCGAACGGGCAAGTTTTAGGAAGCAGAGGTTTAACGGTTTAGATCTTGTCGTGGTCGCGCGCCTGTCACGATCCTCATATATTAAACCCCCGCGCGGACGGTTTCTCTCGTGCGTTTGCATAAGCAAAGGGTTGTTGATGGGCTTTTCTTTTTGCCATCTATGC